GCAGCCTAAAAATCAGAATAGGCGGTCTGTACACGGAGAATCCGGAACGATCATGACGCTGGTGGTTTCATTGGTTTGTTAGGAGGGAAAAGAATGCAAGTGGTAGATTGGTTTGGCTAACAACAAGTTGAAATCACTGGACGGATTACCGACCGTCTACCTCCTGACCATGATGGACAGGGGTCTTTTTGGCCTCGTGAAGAATATTCTTCGATCCACCAATAGCTGGGAGAAGAATCTTGTATCCGTTATTTACGAGGCACGGGATGCAAAAAACCTCACATAGGCACCTACCTTGCTCATCTATCTCAAGGTGACCATTTTGTGGATATTGACTCGGTTCACATACCGGCCTTCTCTTCTTAAAAAATCAACAGGAGTAAGAACCTTCGGGTGTAGCTTTGATTTTGCCATCATTCCAAAAATACTCGGATTGCACAAATTTCACTAGACAAGTATGGGAAAGAGCTGTCAATGGTCAGTATTTAGGGCTCGGAGATTTCATAAGGTTTAGATTTGAATGCGATTGTGCATCGTACATGTGCATAAAATGGCGTACAGGAAGATCGTCTATTCGGAGTTACTTACCTATGTAGTATTCTTGTCAACAGTAACTGTGAATCATAAAGATGACGGAGGTCAGTCTCCGGCAAGAGGCATTCCGAGATCCTTGTACGATCGCAACCATTTGGTCAGGTGCACATTCAGCAGCGGATGGCTGGGCTGGCATTCATCTATCTGGACAATATATTTGATGTAACAGTTACTTTGCCAAGCTGCGAACTGGCTGGTCTTTGTTCAATATATGAGGTACCTGTTTATTGTGGTACGCAATGAGTAGCCATACAACTTCGAAGACTAACCATGCTCACTGATCATGCTTAGGCTAGTATGCGGGGCATATCCGACCCGTATGCTTGGTATAGCCAATGTGTGAGAGAGGACTAGTATAAGTGTGTGAACAGAGGACCAGATGAATGACTTCGGGCTGGGGTTGTTAGAGATCAAATTGGGTTTTTCTATCACTTTCGGGGTTCCTCCCTTTGACACTGATATTGTGAGTTTTCCTAGTCTATCAGGTCATCGCTTTCCCCTCCCCCCTTATTATTGGATACTAAAATACTAACGGAATAAGGTGCAGAGGTTGCCAGGCAGTTAAATACCTATCAAGAAGGAATTGATATTATTTCAATGCAGAAGGGAACTTGGGTAAGGGCACTTTACATGATAAAATGATAAAAGGGATAGTTTGCCCAAAAGGAAGAGACCTTTGTTCTATAAGAGAAATCTTTCTCTGACAGGAGGAGCTTCAGGGCTCCGTCCCTACTGTATACGTCACCCTACTAATGAAACTGTTGCAGCGAGCTATCCAAGGTATGTATATATTACTGCGTACACCCCAGGGTAAATTGCTCCTACTCACCCATATGTGCTCATAGACATTGATTGGGCCAAGGAAGCCTGTAATGTGTGAAAATCAAAACATAGGTTCCAAAAGTATATAGGTACATGACGCTGTTTGTATCTTAGCTGTAGTGTTAGATGCATCACCCAGAGTAGACTGTGTTTATCGGAGTATACACCTATACACATAATCATCTTAGCATATTATTCAGCTGGTCCCCAGAAGCTTCTACCGTCAAAATATAAGCACTAAAAGGAGTTTATTAAATCAACATGGCCGTGATTTGATTCAGAAAAAGAAGGTAGGTAGGATTTGAAACCCCAAGTCTGTTCAATCACTCTGGCAAGTGGAGACATACACCGAACGTCTCCACTATTATCTATGCTTATCACCCTTGGATCCACATATTCGTTCCTCTCGCCTCTATATACAAACTGAATTCTCCGTACACTATAATCCTATAGACTGTATACATTAGCCTAGCTCTCATAATGTATTGCCACTGTATAAACCCTTTTGACCGTATCTAAAAAAGTAGTACTTACTTGGTACAACCTTTCGTGCTGTGCCAAGAATCTTCAGCCTTGGCAATTGGCAGCCCTGCGTCAGGCCTCCTTGTTGAATTCGTTTCTTGAACCCAGCTCAGATCCTCACTATTTGCTCTAGAATTTGCAGCAAAATAAGGCTTTAATTGTAATATGCAGACCATAAGCCGTGCAATGAAACGCATATCCTCCCTCCGCGCCAAACCTCCCAAACTCGCGCTATCGGCCTCGGTGGCTTCCATTCCTCATCGCAAACTCGTGGATAAGGAAATCAGTCCTGGCTACAATCTCAAACAGTATTATTCTGCAAGACCAGGGGAAATTTTTGCCAACCATTATCAATTGCTGGTCAAGATTGGATGGGAGGCGGGCCCAACTGTGTGGTTCGCACGCGACGTAGCAAGGCATGTATTGACTTTTATCATTGTCTGCGGCCATAATTGCCATCACTGACATTTATTTGGCCATTTGATGGATATCAATGGCGGGCCGAGTGTCTTATTGCTCTATAAAATTATCAATAATGACATTTTCAAAGGCGCCTACCGTGAGCGCGATATTGAAGAACACATTGGACGGCAAAATCCCTCGCATCGCGGTCGTCCGGTGATCCGCAATTGCCTTGACAGCTTTGAGGTGACAGGCCCCATAGGAATCCATCTATGCTTAGCCGACAAGCCGGCATGCGAACCCCATTGTATTCTCGAGAAACGGTTTGAAAGCGAGAGACTCCCTCTATCAATGGCCAATTGGGCCACCGCCTAAGAAATTGCTTGTAATGTCGAATTCCATGGCAGAGATTGAATGGTCTCCACGAATAACAGACGAGAGGGGCAAGATATACAAAGATAATAGAGATTATTTTCGGGGCCCCTTTTTCGATGATAAAGGTAAGTACGCAATAGGATGCTCGGTTTTGCTGATTCATACTTCGGTAGGAAACTTCCTCTACAATGACCTGATACCGACTCGGAAACTCGAAGATACGGTTCCGTCTTTAGAAACAGAAGACAGGGAGGCCTTTTTTTCATTCATCAGACAAATGCTTGCATGGCTGCCTGAGGAACTAAAGACGGCTCGGGAGTTGATGGAGCATCCGTTTCTCAACGACTGATGGATGGCAAAATGTGAAAGTATTTCGCTTCGGTGGAGGTTCTTTGCCCACCCGTGGTCGAAGCCAAGGCTCACCCAAGCGGCCCTATGCAGATTTCTTAGAGCGCAAAGTGCCGTATAGGAAGGTTACTATCACTTCAAAAATAGATATCAAGCTCGCTGGTACTACTTGCGAGCTTTTGGGCTTACCCAAGTGAATTTTAGTTTGTGGCTGGATACAGTCTTCCAAAATGCCAAGCACGCTGAGTTGGACAGTGTCTGGGTATAAGCCTGCTAGCCAAGAGGGGGAAAGATACCTTTTTTGAGTATGACTGCCCTCAATTGGTTGTATTTGACTCGATAACCCTTCTTATTTTGCAATATATAGTACAGGATTCTCAGCTTTGGATGCGCCATTGACTGTTGTCTCATACCTTTGACAGAAATTGTCGTTTACGATCAATTCACAGTCTAATATGTGCTGTACCAATTGGCTTGAAGAGGTTAAATACATCAATCAACAACTTTAGTACAGGGGGGAAGGCCGCAAATCAAGATGCTTCTACCGGCAGCATATGTCATGGACACAAGGGGTGGTCAGGAAGGCCGATATGGGAATGCGAGCCTGGACATCACAGCTCGAGACACTCACACGGATTATAACGGGAGCTTATCATATACCAGAAAGATAGGAGATTTGGTCGCTGGGTATAGGGGTCCCAGGACAAAACAGTACACGGAAGTCTGCAGGTGTTTGTCTGTTTGTACCCCGGTCAGCATGTTCACACTTCTTGCGCCCAGCGGTTGTTGAGTTGCGAGACATGCAAACGGGCAACTTCAGCTGGCTTGCAGTGCTTTCCCTCAACAAGTTGACCGTTCTATTTCTTCATGTCTTTGGAATCTTGCAACTATTCGCCTTATTTTGGCTGTTTTCACTGGTCTTCCCACAGCGGTCATTTTGGTAGACATATCTTTGCCTGAAAGATTGCTTTCTCTCCTGCTATCCCCTGACTACATACAGAGTACGAATCACAGCGGATGGACTTTTCCTTGTATCTCCCTTCCTGGACATCCTCCTTCGAAGCTTCTAAGTCTTCTCATCTTCAATCCTGGATCTCCACACCAGTTCCCAGCTTCCTTTGGTAAGTTTAACTAGCAGCTTCTTTGCATTCTCATGTCACTGTCTGTCTTAGACTTTTTGTCTAGGAATTCGGCTTGTCATTGCAAAGAAGGCCAAGTTGATACATCAACAATGGCCTACTGTCTTGACTCTGATTCAACCTATCATCGATTTTCTTCGCGGAAGCTTTATCACTAAACGGCGTCGAGTACGATGATGAGAACTTGGCCAACTTCTTGCTAGAGAAAAAACCTGGCAAGGACAAACAGCGAGTGATACTCGTCGACCTCTAACAGCTTAGTTTTGATGTTGGGGCGGAGAAAAATGCCAATTCTGCCACTGCTGTTTGTCTTATGCAAGATTTTAAGAACATTGGTTTCTGGAAATTGCAGATGACTATACCACTATGATAGACGTACTATGATATCCATCAGAAGTCTTTCTATACGAACGTTGGGGGTGAAGAAACGAAGGAAGAAGCATATCATTGCTAGCTAATGGGCCGCGGGCCGGTATGCATAGGAAAGCCGTTGCTCCTGCCGCATAACAATTACCTAGTCTAGCCCGTAACCCCTTGCAAAAATGTAGGGTACATGTTGTCGCAATACAGATAAGTTTACTCACGGAGGGCAAACTTGTCATTATATACTTTGAGGCCGAGTGGTGATCTTTCAGCACATGGAAATGATCCATCTAGATGCCGTATATATCAGGCCATAAACGTGACGTTATCTTATCGATAAGCACTGTCCATCATGTGTCGTCACGTGTGGGGCAGCTGTTGTCCACCCTTTGGTCTCCAACGACCGATTCAAGCTACAATCGAGTCAGAGCCATTATTGACCTCAAAGGAAAAGGAACGAGGAAAAGAAGATTTGTCTCATCTGATTGCATTTCACACTGTAAATTATCATCTTGAACTTCCACCTCGAGCAAGCCAGCATCCAGGACAAAGCGATTACCGTGTTGACTTGTCTCCCAAGGCTGACCTCATTGAAAGATGCCGCCGCCGTTTGTTCCGATCGCAGAGATCCCCACCGTTTCATTGTTGTATAAAGTGAAACATCTATTCCCAGCGCCAACTCCTCTCGCGCCTCCGTCCCGATCTTTCAATGATGTCATATCTTTGATCCGCAGCGACATCACCAAACTGCAGGATGTCGATTGCATCGTTAATGCCGCAAACGAATCGCTTCTTGGCGGGGGAGGAGTTGACGGCGCCATCCATCGCGCCGCTGGTCCCCAGCTACTGCGGGAGTGCCGTACCCTAGATGGCTGCGACACGGGCGATGCCAAAATTACCTCTGCCTACGAGCTGCCGTGCAAACGAGTTATCCACACCGTTGGGCCGATCTATACATATGAGATGCGACGGGGCAGTGACCGACCCAAGGCTCTGTTGCAGAGCTGCTACCGCCGGAGTCTTGAGCTGGCCGTGGAGAACGATATGAAGAGCATTGCATTCTCTGCGATCAGCACCGGAGTCTATGGATACCCTAGTGACGAAGCGGCGCGGACCGCGGTCGAAGAAGCGCGGAGGTTCTTAGACGACCCGGACAATATTGGGAAACTGGAGAGGATTATATTCTGTAATTTTGAGGAGAAAGATCAGGTTGCCTACCAGGAGGCCATACCGTATGGGTGACATAGATTTGGGCATTACATGCACCCCACAGCTGACCCGCTCTAGTTACTTCTTCCCTCCTGAGAACCAGAACGCCTCTGAAGCCAGCGGACAGACCGGAATGAAGGATACCAGTGAGTCTTCACCATCGCCAGAGCTTCTCGCCGCCAAGCTTCCCGATGCGCCCACCGTGGACCCTGCTTCAGATGATCTCCCGGAACGCAAGAAACAGAAGGTTAATGCAGACGACCCTGGACAGAGCACTAACGTGCAGAGCGACCATATACTCCCAAGAAGCGATGAAAGGAGTGAGGATGACTGGGAGGAAGTTGACAAATCCGAGGATGGTCGAACGGAGCGGCTCGAAGATGAGCCAGTTCAGGTCGATGGACCTCCCTCCCCTACGGACGTGCAGAGCGTCCAGTCGAGTGGGATCATTGACATGGATGGATCGCACTCGACAGAGGGATCTTTTGCAAAGGACTTCTGAATGGTCCTAACGAGTAGCCTGAAGGCCTCAAAGCTCAAGTTTTCTTTATGATTGAACGTTCTCTTACATTGGTGTACTGGGCTGGGACATTCAGAGATAGTGTTCTTGTTGTGCTTTCTTCTATATTTATTGCCACTGATCTTCTCTTTAATGCTCTCAGCTCTCTGTTGATATATGTATGCACTGGGTTATTGTTTGTACTCATTCTGCATTACTAGGCCATTGCCTCCGCTTCTCCTCTCAATGACAAAAGCCCTCACTGCCCACAATCTCTTACTTCCTAATACATGATGTCACGTAAAGCCACCCACATCAGTAGCCTGGCCGTATGTCGATAAATTTGTGGCTATCTGGCCTTGGAGTGAAAAGCGAACTCGTAGACATATATAGAAAAGCCCTCAGCTGTAAGGCTGATAATGCAGTCTAAAACCTGCGGCTTTCCCCAACAGCATACCGCCAATGACAAGCACCATTAATCTGCACTATTCAATCTGCATAAGTAAGGCGCACGGCATAATTGCCGTAGTGGCCTACCTCGTATCTAGGCAGGACCTTGTGAGACACGGCGAGTCTAGAACCAGCGCATTCTGGGGCTTCATGGCTACATTCTATTCGTCGAGAATATGGGAAGCCGGTGAACATTATAGAGATCCATGGATAAATACAGTCCGTGGGTCCAGTAGGGGGGTCAACCGTGTCGTGTTTCATGTCTAGTCACCTGCATGTCCATGACCCCGACCATGGGTTAAATACGAGATATACCTTCATCTCAGGCGTCAGATCGCAAAGCCACCTCGTCATGATAGCTTATCTTTGGATGATAGCAGGCAATAACAGGCAAGCGTCAGCCATGTTCACTTCATTTGACACCTGGATGGTATCAAAAGGGGGCAGATCTGGGCAGCTGAACTCCGGGTTTCAAGGATGTCCGTTGTCGGCATTACTCCGGAGGGATTAACTTCCCGCTTCTCCTCCCCCCCACCCTTACCCAAAACCCATGGATATTAACTGAGGTCGCGCTAGGTCTCACAGTAGATTAACAATATTGGTCCTTCCCACACACGCCGTCGCCACTAGCTGAGAAGTAGAGCGGCGAGATTTAAGCGAATTGATCAGAGGCGAGAAACACAGGTTGTTGCCGTGCGATATCGCCAGGCAAGGAAAAAAAAAGCCGGGCAGACGATCTACGCAGTCGGGTTTCGCTCATCCGGCTACTCCTGAAGGATGGAATAAGTTGAGCCGAACCATAGATAAAAATGGGGGAAATATCGGGGGTTCATGTTGGCGCTGCATCCACTCTGCTTTGACGCTAACCCGCGTTCGGGGTCCGATTTAGGCGAAATGGCAAACGATGGAGCGCAAAGCTTGGACGATTTCTCGTCTTTCCAGACCTATAGAGGTGTGGGTTATATCGTTGTTATCAGAGGGGAAGTGAGAGGGAAGACGGATTATATAGCAATGGAGAAACCTTTATAGACACCCATGGCTATTGTATAGATTTCATTGTCAGGGGGTGCAATGCTACCCTAGACGGTCAGAACCTTGTATTTACTACCTTGTAAACAAGGCAACGATTCGGTCGGGTCACGGGTGACTTCGCCTTTGTCTTTCTAGTCGCAAGGCTCCGGTCGTATCTTGATTCTTGACAGATCTTCAAGATGGGCATGATGTTGCCCCTGGCATCGTGGTCGGTTCTAGCCTTGCACAGAACCTTCATTGGCATCTTCGCTCGTGTTTTGGTCGGGGTCTCTCCCCGTGGTCCACTACAAAACATTCCAAAAAGGTTCGGGAAAACGCCCCCGAATCCATCGAGACATGGGGGAAACCTTGCGAGTCAGTCGTCTTCAGATTTAATTGTTCTAGGCGTCCTACTTAAATCCACGTGTTGATCGAAATCACCTCCAGGATGACAATCTCTTCTGTGTGGGAAGGACAAGAGACATCTCAAGCCACGCCAATGGTTCGAGAATGCCGATCCCGGTCTCACAAACAATTACATACATGCTCCATACATCGCGCCTGATCGATCACGATCGCCTGAGTCGGTGGAGTTTCCATTGAGTAAACATTTGAGGTGTTCATTTCGTTTCTCGTATTAAAAGCTTGGACCGCGCCGTCGGCCCATGTGAGAGCCAATCTCCAGGTCAAAATAGCAAGTTGATCGGACGACTAGCCTGGTAGCCTGAGGCGCTGGCTTCAGGTTCCCGACCGACACGTGCTCCGCGGAAAAGAAAGTTCACGCCTGGAACCATGAAATGCCGGCCCAGCTTTCATCGATTCGATTTTCCGAACCCCTGTCGTTTTACCCTATTGGCCGGTTGCCTGCATGGTCTTCAAGCGAGTGACCATCTGCGAATTAGCACAATGCCACCCTACTCGGACACTTTTCCAGGAACGCACTACGACCTCAACAGGTGCCGACCCCTTCCTACCACTTCGGGTGAGGATCGCCTGCAGCCTAACCACCGTGAAGCACGCAGTGTGGGCTAGTGGAATGCATCATGTCAGATATAGAATAAAGGCACCGGTGCATGGTTTAGTATCGTTATCGACTTTTCCCCTGGTGCGTTCTTTGGTCGCTTCTGCAACTATCAGCACTTAAGATTCGTTCGGTAACGCATAACAGCCAGTCCTGGATCGTCGTGAGCGTGAGGGCGAGATACCTATTGTCTCACTTGTGGAGTCTGTCAGCGCGGCTGAAATGGAAATGGGTAATAGTGCACGACCAAGTGGAGGAGCTGGCTCTCGGGCCTCGTCTTTTCGTGATCTCCGCCGCACTCCGCCCGAAGGGCTAAGAGAGAGTCGTTGGAGTATCGAGAAACACCGAGGATGGCCAGGTCGCTGATCGGCTGTTTAGCCTGCATTTGGGCTGGCCTAGCTATTGCCACGACTTGGCGATTGTCGCCTCCTCCTGCTCTTCCACTATCTGCGCCGATTTTCGATGAACTATTATCGCCCCTATAGAGCGTGTCCGTGTTGTGGTTGGCGATCTAATCCGATAGGTCTTGGCCAAAATTGCACCCACTTCTTTTGTCCGCTGGGTGGGACCACCTGAACGACTACTCCGGAACGCACTTCCTGTTCCTGGTATGGTCTGGCAGATGCGCTTATCTTAGTCGACAATGGCGGACGTGCTCATTTAGTTGGACATCATATCGTCCGCTTTCTCTCTCCAAGTCTCCAGTCTCCACGAGAACAATGGCTCTCTCCAAGAGGTCGGGTCCACGGAACGGGCTCGAGGTCCCTGCTTAGTAGAGGTTTATTCCCCACTCTGCCCCAAATAACCAACGAAGTACTATCCAGGGTAGTCCCTAGGTCTGCGGTGTTGCAACCCCGGCATCTATTGTCTCCTTGTAATCCCTGTCCAATAACTATAGCATTTCGACTAGACCCAAATGATCTCTGGAATCGTAGCCAAATCCCAAACAGACGATGGCAACTAACCCCACCAAGCCCGATGGCAGCCCGCAGGCGACTTGCCACTGGCCAGTCAGTATTTCGTATTCCCCCCCGTAAATGCTACCTACGGACTACATGCCCCTAGCGTTTGAAGCCCTTCCGCTCTTTTCCCTATAACGGCACTGCCCGCCATCAAGGGTCGCCCGTGGAGAAAAAGTGCGCATATGTTGCAAAAGACTGTTATGCTAATCTTCTCCGCCTGAAGGGCATGTCATCCAGCCCTGAGATTATGAAAGTCGCCTGATCAATCAAGCCTGCGCTGCGCTTCAGTATGAGGGAACTCTCAGGTCGCAGCGAATCTATATTCGTTGTCACGGTGGTCTTTTTGGGAGTCTCCTTCATCACAGTGTGTCTACGATGTTTCGTCCGTCTGCGCTTGGTGCGAGCATTCGGGTGGGATGACACTCTAATGGTCGCCGCGATGGTATGTCTCGTCAACATCTATGTTTTGTCCAGGGGTACGGGCTCACTTGCTGCGACTTTTCTAGGCCCTGAATATCCTGTTCGCATTGTGTGGAATAACAGGCTCACTATATGGCATGGGCCAGAAATTGGGAGACCTAGAACCTAATGACATTGAAACTGCCATGTTTGTAAGTCATCTATCTATCTCCTACGTTGCGAATTGTAGGGGGTCAAGCCCGCGCAATATTCTAACAGCAACCGATACAGTGGTGGTGGCTAGGCCAACTCAGCTATGTCTTCACCTGCGCAGTCGCCAAAATATCAATCGCGCTGGCGCTCCTCCGTCTCACGGTCGCCAAACTCCACAAAATACTCCTGTGGCTCGTCATTGCCGTAACCGTGGTGGTGGGACTCGTGTTCTGGTTCATGTTGACCCTGCAATGCCAACCGGTCGACCATTTTTGGAAACGATTGTCCACCGAGGGTCATTGTTTGAAGACGGACTACCTCATCGATATCGCCTACGTCTACAGTGTCACCGCCTGTCTTTGTGACTTGACCCTGGGCCTCTTGCCTATTGCATTGGTGTGGACTCTGCAAATGACTCGGAAGACTAAAATTGCTTTGGCGTTTATCTTGAGTCTGGGTTGCATGTATGTCTCTGACACTCGCCAAACCCCCGGTGATCTAAATACTGACTGTCGAATATAGTGCCAGCGCCGCTGTCATCGTCCGTATCCCCTATCTCCACAATTATAAGGACCGCGAATTCCTCTGTAAGTTCTCTCTGCCAGACCGACGCCCGGTATGCGGTATCACTAACGCAAGACCAAATTCTCAGACGCTACATCCGAGATCTCCATATGGTCCAACATCGAAGCCGGGCTAGGCATCACAGCCGGAAGCCTCGTCACCCTCCGTCCACTATTCCGCTGGTTCCGCGGAACCTCCTACGGGGCCACCCACAGCGCGAAGAAGTCAGGCACCTTCCCCCTGTCCAGCATCACCGGCAACGGAACGTTTCAGTCTAAGCACGATCGAAACGCCCCGAGCTATTGGAGGCCGGACATCGACCGTGGTGAACACCATGGCGTGGTCACGACGGTGGCGACCTCCCGGGGGAGCACCAACAGTAGCCAGGAGAACTTGAATCCCCAGCAGAACTCGATGACTGGCGGGGTCAATGTACACAAATCGTTCCTTGTAACAACAGACCAGGTATAGCGGATCTGTATAGATAATTTGCATATGATTGAATTGAATAATAGAATAACTTATACTACATCTGATTTATAGACTGATCCTTTAGATCTTCTTCTTACAATTTCCTTAGATACCTGGCATAAATGCGTACCAGATAAGCGACTCCAGATCAACTCACCACATACACCTAAGCTATCCATCGACGTAACTGATATCGAGGCCCTTGCACCTTTCAAGTATATAACTAGAAGGCTTCCATAATAGACACTTATAGTGTAGACTCGGAAAGGAAAATCAAGGTTCCGTGCCCTGAAGCGTGGCACTTAGCCCAACCAATCACGATCCGCAACGCCCGGCCTAGGCGGACTTCCAAGCAAAGCGGCGAAATCTCCGGAGAACCATCTCGTTTGTTAAGGTGGCTTTTTCCCTACTACGGTTTGCAGCTTCGATCACTTTCCTCCTTTGCCCATTTAGGAGATTAGGAAAGATTGGATGTCCTTTTCCGTTTCCCCTATGGTTTACTAAATATTTTGACCCCTTTCCCCCTTCTCATTTCCCTTTGATCCCGCGTCGTTTGGCCTGGACTGTGGTCATTCGATTGGCACAATGTCAGTTGCACATCTTTACCCCATGGTCCCCGCAAGCTTGCTTGATTCCCCCCTGCTAACAGCTCTTTTAGGGCGAAACTCGTGGAGGATCCTCAGATCAAATTTGCGTCCCTCCACAATCCGCTGCCTGTCCAAGTGCACACCTATGTCTGGCCGTTCCTAGTCATCTGGCCCGCGTTTCTCGCCTTCTACCTCTCCCCTGAGCGCTACGATCGATATATCCAAGGTCAAGAATGGACGTTTGTGTGGGTGGCAACGATCATCACGGCTCAGTCGCTGCTGTGGTTAATGACGAAATGGAACATCAACATTGAAACTCTGTTCACGGCGAAAGAGGCCAAGTCCCTGGACTCGGCCCAGGTGATCAAGGTCATCCCCGACGCCAACGCCGGTTCTGCCGAGATCTGCCCGATAATTCGCGAGTCGCTGGGTGGGAAAAGGACGGTCTCGTTCCTGTTCCAGAAGCGCCGTTTCCTTTTCTACCCGGACCGCGGGTGCTTCGCGCCCCTGTCGTATGTCATTGACGAGGAGCCAAGACCCGCCGTCAAAACCTTCCAGGACAGCCAAGGTCTGGCCTCCAAAGCCGAAGTCGAGCGCATCCAACACCATTATGGCGACAATACGTTTGATATTCCCGTCCCCGGTTTCGTCGAACTCTGGAAGGAACATGCCGTGGCGCCTTTCTTCGTTTTCCAGATCTTCTGCGTTGGGCTGTGGATGCTTGATGAATACTGGTACTACTCCTTGTTCACGCTCTTTATGCTTGTCGCCTTTGAGAGCACTGTGGTATGGCAGCGCCAGAGGACTTTGAGTGAATTCCGAGGAATGAACATCAAGCCTTATGATGTTTGGGTATACCGCGAGAAGAAATGGGTGGAAATCACCAGTGACAAGCTGCTTCCCGGTGATGTCATGTCTGTCAACCGGACCAAGGAGGATGGCGGTGTCGCTTGCGATATCCTTCTTCTTGAAGGCAGTACTATTGTTAACGAAGCTATGCTGTCTGGTGAAAGCACACCCCTTCTGAAGGAATCTATCCAGCTTAGACCCGGAGATGACTTGCTCGACCCGGAAGGACTAGACAAGAATGCGTTTGTGCATGGCGGCACCAAGGTTCTGCAGGTCACTCACCCGAGCACCAGCATGGAGGGGCCGGATGACACCCTGCGCACAGGGAAGGTTTCTTCCCCTCCAGATAATGGCGCTATCGGTATCGTGGTGAAGACTGGGTTCGAAACGAGCCAAGGGAGCCTTGTCCGTACCATGATTTACTCCACGGAGCGTGTGTCCGCCAACAACGCCGAGGCCTTGCTTTTCATCCTCTTCCTTCTCATGTTCGCCCTCGCTGCTGCGTGGTATGTTTGGAAAGAGGGTGTGGCAAAGGACCGCAAGAGATCGAAGCTCCTTCTAGACTGTATCCTCATCGTCACGAGTGTCGTTCCTCCGGAGCTTCCTATGGAACTGAGTCTCGCGGTCAACACCAGTCTGGCTGCGCTGAGCAAGTTCGCCATTTTCTGCACGGAGCCGTTCCGCATCCCGTTCGCCGGACGTGTTGATGTTGCCTGTTTCGATAAGACCGGTACCCTGACCGGCGAGGATCTCGTCGTTGATGGTATCGCCGGCCTTAACCTGGGTCATCGGGGCGCCAGCATCGAGAAGGACGGCGCTCACGTCGACCTGGCCAAGGGCGGCAATGTTAGACTTGACACCACGCTCGTTCTTGCGAGTGCCCACGCTCTGGTGAAGCTCGATGAAGGCGAAGTTGTCGGTGACCCTATGGAGAAGGCGACTTTGCAATGGCTTGGCTGGACTCTGGGTAAAAACGATACCCTTACCTGCAAGAACGCACAGGCCGCAGCTCGTCTCCCTGTTGATTCGGTGCAGGTTAAGCGCCGTTTCCAATTTTCTTCCGCTTTGAAACGCCAGAGTACTATCGCTACTGTTGTCTCTAACGATGGCAAGAACCCCAAGAAGGTTAAGTCTACTTTCGTTGGTGTCAAGGGTGCTCCTGAGACTATCAGAGCCATGCTTACGAACACTCCTCCCCACTACGAAGAGACCTACAAGCACTTCACTCGCAACGGTGCTCGTGTCCTTGCCCTGGCATCCAAGTATCTGTCCACCGAGGCCGAGCTGTCCCAAGGTCGTATCAACAACTACGTCAGAGAAGAAATTGAGTCTGACTTGACTTTTGCTGGCTTCCTGGTTTTGCAATGCCCGTTGAAGGACGACGCCATCAAGTCCGTGCGTATGCTCAATGAGAGCAGCCATCGTGTTGTCATGATCACCGGTGACAACCCTCTGACTGCCGTCCACGTTGCGCGCCAAGTTGAAATCGTTGACCGCGAGTGCCTGATCCTTGACGCCCCCGAGAACGATAACTCAGGAACAAGACTGGTCTGGCGAAGCATCGATGATAAGTTTAACCGCGATGTCGATCCCACCAAAGACTTGGATGCCGAGATCTTGGAAACCAAGGATATCTGCATCACCGGCTATGCGCTAGCGAAGTTCAAGGGCCAAAAGG